GGTCCAGCCCCAGGACACCACATCCTTGTCACCCCAAACTCAGAGCATCCTGCATCTTCAGTTCACAGACCTCAGTGAAGGGAAAAAACACTTGCAGGCTGTGCAGGTATTATCTGCCCTCCTGAGAAACCCACAGGCTCCGGGACCCCTGAAAGCGATGGCTCCCGGCTGGCCCACGCCTGCCCTGTGAGCGGGGAGAAGCCCAGGGGTCTGCCCTCGTCCCTCGGGAGCAGCCTGGCACCAAGCAGCGCCCAGGCAGGGCTCCACGCAGGATGGGAGATGTCGCAGAGAAGAGATATAATATCTGTGTATTTTTCTATGGCACGAGGAATGGTTTACTGGAGCCCCTGCGCCCAGAATTCTGCCGGCAGCCCCTGCCCTCCGCACTGAAATGAAGCCAACGCTGGGGTCCTGTGGCCCAGCTCGGCCCTGCTGCAGAAGACCAATGCTAGTCTTTGCTTTTCCTGACCCAGAACAGCCTGTGGTTTCCTATTTATCTACCCTTTTCCCTCCTTCTCTCTGCATCCCTTTCAAAGAAAAAAGAAGGAGCACTGGTTCTTTTTATTGAAAATATTTTTTAAACAAAAAAAAAATTCTCTTGGCTTTTTTTTTTTGTTTGTTTGTTTCCTTCCTAGTGGCACGACTGCGTGGAAATTCATGACAGTAAATTTCATTTTGTTTGCCAAGCTGGAAATACAGTTCAAGAAAATGTATTTTTGAGAGAGACCAGAGAGAGTTCATTTGTTCAGGAATGTCGGTATTGTTATTATTTGGTTGTTATTGGCAGGTTTTCCCCCACAAGTGCTGAGCCTGCACCGCTACAGCCCTGTCGCATCCCCACCCCGTGCTGGGGAGGTTTTAGTTCTAGGTGCTTGGTTTGCTCTGTGAGTAAAGGAAACATCTCATGTGGCCTTAGCTTGAGGTTTGGAAGTTAAGCATCCCTGAAGCCATTCAGGTGCACGGCAGGCGGGTCAGTGCCTCTCTGCCACCCGTTAATCTAGTCTCTTGCTCCCAATCCTAGCACTTTTAAACACCTTTAAGTGAATCTTTACTTCCGAGAAACCTCTTTACCCAGTGGCTTTCCCCTCACTAGCTCTCCTTGGTGTTATCCCAGAAAATGGCACAGAAAATGGCCCTGAGACATGGTACTTTTCCCAGGGTTTCAGGGGCTCCTTCTGCTTGGGCCTCTCCATACCCAATTCAGGATTGTCAGCAAGCTGTACCCACGCTCAAGTCCCCTCCTTACAGTAATACAAGAAGAAAGGCAACAGCAACTGGTAATTAGCTGGCTCCTGTTCACAGTGCACGAGCCAGAGGGCCTTGGCCAGCTTTGGTTTCAGATCCTGAAGCTTTTTTTAAGCATTACCGCGAGGACACTGTTCCCTCCCAAGCCTGGCTTGAATAATCCCATTCGCCACAAGACTCGTGAGGCTTAAACAAGTTGTCAGCATCTTTGAATCTTTTCCTTCTTGGGAGACTTGGCTGCACCCCGTAAAGTGAAAGCCCTGAGCGAAGGATCCTGTTGGGATCCCTGCCTCCGGAGGAACACAGCCCTCAAAGGGGCTGCGAGCACGTTTTCCATTGCTTTCATGTGGCTGCTTACTCCTCTCTAAACAGCTCCAAGGTCTCTGTTGAATGTCTGTCTGGCATGCTGAAAAGCCAGTGGAAATACTTGTTTTTCACTCTGGAACAGGGGAGCGATACCACAAGAGATGTGACTGCAAATGCTCCTGCACTGCTTGTCAGCACAAGAGCTGCAGTGAGGAGCACTGCTGCTGAGGGGCCTCAAACTCAGAGGCCTTACTGGGGTCCCCTGAATGCTGCATCACCCCAGTTAAAGGCTAGGAAGAGAAGAGGGATTTTAAGTCTCAGGCTGAAAGCTGTTGTGAGGACAGACAATTTCCCCACCAGGTTCTAGTTACCTCCCGGAAAGAGCCTGATCCTGCAGGTCCCCCTCACAGGGTCATGTTTGCAGACGTGGCACCTGAAGCTTGCTTTGCTCTAGCTCTGAGTTCACTTCAAACCGCACCATTTCCAGAGCTAAGTGCTAACAACTCCCACCAGTATCTGTAATCCCTACCTCTTCCAGGTCCAAGCCTCTGGAAAGTTTCCTGTATTTGCAGCATTTCCCCCTTTTCCTGAGCCTCTCCAGCCAGTCCCTCTGAAAATTCAGGCTGCCTGTCAGCCATCGAGCTAAGAGCAGAGCATACACACACAGGAAAGTGCCAGGGACTCCCTTGTAACAGTCCCACCGGCCAGTGGATTCCCTCCACCTCCTTTATTGATGGCTTCTCCCTGTATCAAGATTAACCTCACCTTCCTCCCTGTCCTGCTCCCCCAAATCAACCATTGGGGTTGGTTTTGTGTGGCTCGTGTCACCCTGCTTTCAGTCTGTTACAACCTGGGCAGCACATTCTCATCTTGCAGCAGCCTATGCTGTTGGCATTTGAAGGCCTGAGATGACAAGGTACACATCACTATGCAAAATCAAATGAATGCTGTCAAGATGGAAAGCAGCATCTGATCTGTGCCCTGAAAGCTGTGCTCCATCAACGGGTCTCCTCAGTCAGGAGAGGAAGACCAGTACGGCCCACGCAGCCACCCCAGAACTTGGCCCAGTGTTTTCGGTTTCATGAGTTGACTAGGAACAAGCCTTCATGCACTGAGGGTGTACCTACAAGCGGCTTCTCGCTTTCTGGTGGTCCAGGCAGTGTTCAGTCCTCATCCATCTGGACACTGACCATCTGTCAAGCTCCCACGCAGTTCCACGCCACAAAAGCAAAGTGCTGCACACACACAGTTCAAATAAAAGTCAGAAACTGACAAAAATGTTTAATATTAGTTTTGAAGAAAAAGTGACCATACTCGCTTAGATGAGAAAACGACTAAGTGTGTTTAGTGAGCTCTCCTGCCAACCTGTCAGCCCACAGCTGTGGCTCTCCACTGAGGCCCAAGCGGAGAGGCAGGCCTCCCCGCAGCTGCTCTCTCAGCGCGTGACAATGCAAACTCACTTGGGACACAATACACAATTGCCGTGGGAGCTGGCGTATGGAGGTTGCGCTCTGATCTGCGTTTGGCTGCCGCTCTCGGGCCATGGCACATATCAGCAGAACTGCAAGAGAAGGGAGTTTAAACCCCGATTAGAAAACCTCACTGCCAAGGAGAGTTGCGGGTCATGCGCGTGCTGCCTAGAAGAAGATAGGGATCCAGGTGATGGTCTTGTTTCTGAAGCTGGCAAGGGCTTGGGGATTCTGCAGAGGCAGGGCTCAGCCCCTGGAGTAGGGGCCAAACAGAGCTCCCGTTTGAATCTCTCGGCTGTGGCTCTTTGGCACTTGGTAGTGGTGCCATTTCTGCTCGCCATTGACAGGGAGATTTCTGCTCACCCCCGAGCTGTGTGCGCAGTATAAAAGAGAAGTTTTAAAATCCTGAATGTCATCACCACCATCTCTCAGGGGGCAGAGGGAGCATGGAAAGCACTGTGAAGCTGGTCATGGCAGAAGAGGGGATGTGAGGAGGGAGGCAGGGAATGCGAAAGTGAGACTTGACCCCAGCTGGTCTGCAGAGATGGGATGAACCCAGGAGCTCTTGCCTCTGTGCTGGGAGGAAGGATCACTTGCTAGAGCCAGTCAGCGTTTGGCAAGCACCTCTGAGGGCAGCAGCTAAGCATCTGCAGCATCGTGGGTGCAGCTACCCTAACACCCCTCAGTGCCAGTAATATCCTTGGTGTGCTACCTTCCAGCGATTCCCACACTCGTTGCACACGACGAAGGTGGTCATGGGCTCATCGGAGCTGCGGGTCTGCACCTGGGGGAGGACACAAGGGAAATGAGCGCCAAGCATCACACGTGGCCCCGTGGTGGGTCATGGGGAGCTCCCTGTCCCTCTGGCCACCAGGGATTCATGCTGGGGTCACACTGTCAGAAATCAATGAGACACCGAGACTTGGAAGGGCAAAAGGAGCTTCCCTGTAAAATGAGTCTGGTTATTGTTTTACACGCAGATATACACCTCTATACACATCTCATGACCCCTCTCTCTAGCCTGACACTACCAGAGTGACATGTTTTGGGGCAGCAGCTTACCCTCCTCACCCCCTCTGCTGCCCATTTCTTGCGGGTGGTTCTGGAGGTGGACATACCCACAGCCAGTCCCTCCCTGTACTGTCCCCGGGGAAGGGATGCAGCCAGCAGTGAGACAACACAACCCCCAGCCCATCAAGCACGTGCTCCACAGCAACACATAAAAAAAGCACTCAAGCCATTCCCATTTACAGACCAGTCCTACATCCTGGCCTCACAGGAACATGCTCTGGGTTACCAGGTTCTGCACATTTCCAGTCTGTTTTGTATCTGAGCCATTAAGAAACTCAGATATTTAACCCAGATGTGACTGCTGCCTCTGACTGGCTCTTGCCAGAAACACATACTTCATTAAAAATCAGATTTTCATGGCATTTGAATACCACAAGGCACATCTACGCTGAAAATACTGGCACTCCCTGCGCAAGTCAGACAGCAGAACTATGTCACGGGGTAATTACGGTGATCTACATGTGTCATTACCCAATATGCAAGAGTCACAGTATTTGCATGATGTAAATTAAGCATGTTTTGCAAGCATGCTGGATAGCTAAATTCTGTAATTCTCACCCGACATTACTGCCTGGTTTTGAACACTTTCATAAATGTCAGTTCATCTACTTGGAACTTACAACATCTCAGTCACCAAATAGTAATTTCACTGGAAAACTAATAATACAGAAAACCTTCTGATATTTCTATTTAGAAGACACTGGCAGCACCTGCCCCAATTCCAGGCAGTCAGACTCCAGTCCACCACAGGTGGAGAGAGAGTCCCATGTTCTACTGAAGGGAGCGAGACAGCCCAGGCAGTGCTTCCAGCTGACTTACTGGGACACGCTCGCAGAGCGAGGCCTCTTGCCCGAGCCAGCCTGCGGGATGCAAGACTGCTGCTGAGCCAAAGGAAAATCCCTGGTCAGCTGCCTGGCTCTCATCTGCATTTGCACGTCATGTCCAAGCATACGAAGGAGTTTCACTCTCGGCACTTGCACACACAGTTTGTGCACACCCACTCAGTAGCAATCGCGTGGTTGCTGGTACATTTTTGGGTATCTGCACATTCTAAAACACTGACTCACAGCAAAGGCACATTTATCTCCAGATGCCTGGCGCAAACATGGGAACTAAAAAGCACTGGTAACACACAAGGCTTCCAGCAGCTGTCCATTGAGGAGAAAAATCCCCTCTGCCTGCTCACATCACTGCTTTGTTATTCTTGGTGTTTCACATTGTTTGATTTTAAATAAGCTAGGATTTGTCCAGCTGCAGCTTATCTGCATTCTTAATTTGCACTTTTAATACCATCAACATGCCTGCCTCGGTTTCTGCAGTCTCTCTCCTCTACACTACCCACTCCTTTCTTGTCTGAATCTCCACATTCCCAGCACCTGCTTTCAATGTGCAGCTCTCCCGAGCTGCGCAGCAAGCAGCACTGCTGTACTTTTGAAGGCTTCCTTGGTGCTGCACAACCCCTGCTCTTGTACAAATGAGCCGAAAAAAGTTACACAAGCTCCAAGGAAAGATGTGCAAAATCATTGTGCAAAAGCAGTACATTTTAGAGAGCCTTGAGTGCACAAAAAGGTTCTCTCCACCAGTGGCAAAATTTGTGCCGTGCTGCGGGGCCTGTCACGAGGCACTAAGAGCTCGTGACCATGACAGATCATGTCCTGTGCAGAGGTCAATGGTGTGGAGGCTGTAGGAGCAGGAAGACTAACCTGGGTGTAGGTGCAGTTCTTCTTCTTGCACTTCCCACAGGTGAAAAGGTCAGTCTGCGTCCCTCCCGTCTTGGCCATCTGATGCTCCCGGATTGCTTCTTTCGTCATGGCTTTCCTGATCTCTTTCAGCTCATTACTGGCCATTTCCTTTCAAAAAAAGCAATAAAATCACATCTGTCCAGTTTTACCACCACACCCACTACAGTGGAAAGAGTCAACAGGACAGGGTGGCCTAACAGATAGGTATTAAGACAGAAAGCCTTTCATTCCTGGTTTCTGGTTCATACCTAGACCCCTGTAATGATTTGAAGGCCCAACAGACTACTCTCCCACTGCTAGCTCGCTCCCCATGCGCTCCGGCAGCGGCTGCTGAGAAATCTGCAACCCTGGCAGCAGACCAGCCCCTTGCTTCAAGCTGAACCACAGGACACATCCCCTGTAAGAAGCAAACCCTGCTCCTCAGGCTTCCTCACCTCCGAGGTCATCACCGCGATCTGCTCGGGGGTAATCGCCCCACACAGCACATTCTTTTTCAGCTCAGGATTTTTGGAGTCCTTCAGATTTGAGATACGGCTCCTCACTCGGTTTTTGTATTTCATGTCGGTGTTCTTGACATCTTGGTATATGCGTACATGGCAGTCAAGGAGTCTGCAGTCAACCCAGAGGCCTCCATGCAGTTTCTACACCACTTGCGAATAGCAAGGAGTGTTACTCGCTGCCAGGACACAGATGAGGGTGCTGGGACCCAACAGCAGTGTCTGCTCTGGGACGTTAATGCTGGATTTGAGAGCAGGTTTATACAATCCCAGAGTTCAGGGGCTTTCAGTTCTGGCTTTTTCACTGTGCCAGAAATAATCTTTATTTTCAGTTATGCTCACGTTCTTCAACGTCCTCTTTCTCTCAGCAAAGTAGCCACAAAACCCTCCACTAAGAGAGCCCAACTACACCTCCTACCCCACAGCCCCCAAACCAAGCAAACTCCTGGTTTATCTCAAATCGACATGCAACTTGATCCTCATTGCTCCATCCTTCCCATTGCTTTTGTCTATGTCAGCACCCTCTCCTCAACAGGGAGGCACAGGGAAGTTGCACGTATTTGGAAGCAGAGCTGAGAGCAGGAAATAGCATTTTTATGGGAAGGACAAACTGGGGATTACAGTCCATCATGGTGCGAACAGGAAGGAAATAACCACGTCCATCACACCAGCAAGGGGTCTGCCCTGAGCTCCCAACACCACACCAGTGGTTCGTTAGTGACCCAGGACTCAGCCAAGCAGAGCTGGAACCAGACTCAGACAGGCAGAGCTGCAGCAGAACATTTATGCAAAGAAAGCTTGTCCCATTTTCCCTCTGAGCACATTAATTTCATGACCTGGAGGCATGCAGGCCCTTGAGGAAGCCCCGTACAGTAAGGATATATTCTTCAATCTGGGCTGCTATGTGCTCACAGTCCGCGCCAATGGCAATATAGTCATCTGCAACACAAGAGAAACACAAGGCCAATGACTTCCAACCAGGCAAGGGGTCCCCAGGCTCAGTATTTCTGAGATACAAGTCTAGATAATTTGCTATTTTGATTTACATGCTCCTTCCATCAAATAGCACCTTGGCCTTTGCCCTAGCTACCCTCTGACCCTTTTGAAAAGGGCAGTGATGAAAATAGACCAATCCAGCCAGTCTATATCCTCTGCCTCTCTAGGAGATGGACTGCACTAGACAAAGCTAACAAGAACTTGGCACCTAAAACATACAGCTTTCTAATGTATTCTTGATATAGTTGAAATCAAACATATATAGGCAGGAATTGAGTCTCATCAGATATCAGTGTCAATGAGAAGCAGCTCTACTCAGACGAACAATCCGGCAGGGCCTGAAAGCATGCAGCATCAGAGCCAAGCCTTCATTTCTCTCCTCAGCTCAGGACTCTTGTCTGCCCCTCCCCTCTTCTTTCACACACTTCTTGCCAATTAAACAGCATCATATGGAGTGCAATAACTGCTATGAGTTTGGACACTGGGTATGGTAACCAACACCATAAAGCAGGGAACAGGGATGAGCTTAGCAAAAGACTCAAGGGGACTATTTCTCAGACTTCACATGGAAAGATTTTTTCCAAGAGATATACTAAGTGTTTAATGCAGCATATATATATATAAACACACACACACACACAGGAAGGCTAGAAATAAAGTCTTTGTGAACTTCTCCATCTGCTGTCTGCATTTCTTGGCACCAAATTAATAAAACTCTGCAGTGCTTAGACCCCAATTTTCCAAAGGGATCTGCAATTTGGACACAAGCATGTGTTCAGCTTGAGGTGTTTAAAATCCGACTTTCAGAGATGCTGAGCACCTGCAGTTGCCTCTCATTTTAGATGGCACAGCCTGGGTGCAAGAGAGACCTATTCCACCCCATGGTATTTAAGGGGCTCCAATTTGCCTGGGTGCAAGAGAGACCTATTCCACCCCAGAGGACCATGGTATTTAAGGGGCTCCAATTTGTATGGGCGGGGGAGCCTAAGAGCAGACGGTGACTGGCATAAGCACCATTATCAACAAGTCCCATGTATTGAGTTACAGCTTCATTTTGTGCCCCAAGGGTAAACAGAGATGACAGCTTCACTTTACAGCAATCAGACAAGACTGAGACCTAAAAAAGGAAGCAAATACCTGCACACCTGAGGATGAAACTTCTGGGCAGACCACCCCAGGCTGCAGAGCAGAAGACCCCATGTTCTTAACAGCCATTGCCTGACACATTGCCATGCCTTTGGTTCAAGCCAGGTTTATAGACACTTTACAGAAAGTGTATATAAACACTGCAATGGCAGCCAGGCTGACAAAGGTGTGACCAGTGGCTAGACCAAGCCAACGGCAATAATCCTTTGACAAGGCTGCTCCAGAAGAGCATATCTAAGAGGAGCTGGCACTGACATACATGCAGAGGTCTCTGTCAGAATGCACCAGGAGCTGTGAAGCACCTCAGGCAATGCAGGGTTTCCCCCAGCACTTACCATCAGCTTGCAGAGCTGTTGTCAGCATTTCTCTGCATTTGTTGCGGACAGCATCGCAGGTGACGGGCGCCGGAGGGAAGGTGGTGATTTTGGGGGTGGTCGGAGTCTTCGGAGGCTCCTGCCTTTTGTTGGAGCTAAAAGAGAAACTTCACCTGTCAGAATGTCTCAGTTCGGGTCACTGAGAGCAGAGAAGGGATCAGCAGGTAAGTGGCCAAGCATCCTGTTAATCACAACACAAAACCAGTCAGAGGAAAACAGTGCAAAGACACATGCCCCGAATCAGCATATAGCGCAATACCGCAACCAACACCATCAACCCAGATACGAGCTCTCCTGTGGACTCCGCTGGCTGAAAATGGAGGGTTTAATCCAGGAGGCAGGCCTGCCAACCAACTTCTGTTATTGAACACGTATCACAACCGCTGGACATCAAGTGGAAATATTATGAAGCCATTGGACACCATCAGTAACTCAAATATACTCAGGACTTCCCGAGACCATCAGCACTCTCTCGGTCTGGTAGCGTAGTGCACAGATGCGCAGTACTTCATTCCTCTCTCACTTTGCCGGACAAAGTCCATAACTGTTCTCAGCAGAAAGGAAGCAGAAGGCACCAGTAAGGTTAATCTCAGCAGGTGCTGGAGCTGGTTCCTCATCTCACATCCTTTACTACCAAGATGTCAGCAGCAGGAAAGAGAACAGCTAAACAAAAAAGCACTCTAGCTCTCTGTAGCCGACAGGAGTACAGCATGCTGCCTTCTGGGGCAGAAATCAGAGAAGCCTACACTAGCCCCTCCATAAGAAGGAGCTGCCATGCTAAGGAAAAGAAAAAAAAATGGCTCCTTCAGCTCCGATTTTAAAAAAATACAACAACAAAATGTAACACATTAAGAGGATCTTCCTTTTTCCTGTAATCTGGACAAGACTCTTTGATTACTCATCTCACAGAAAAGCAGCCCTACACAACGACACACAGCTTGCACAGGTGCCAGGCTAGCACAGGACTAAAATACTGCTTCACTCACAAAAATAACTTCATTTCCACCTGCAAGCAATCGTGGGCACACACAAGGGAATGCAAACACCTGCCTGGTGTGGCTGACTCAGTCAGGTCATCTGCCAGGGGAGCTGGCTGGAGAGACCCAAGGCGCAGAATCACTGCCCGGACCTGCCTGCATGATCAGCGCATGATGCAGGCAGGCTGAATCACCACGCAGGCTGGGCTTGCACGCACCGCTGCGAGGTTTGCGTGCCGGAGAAGTAACTTCACCGAGCAGTTCGGCTGGGTGTACACCCACGGTGTTGAGACTTGCCCATAAAGCCTAACATCTGCGCATAGAGTTAGTGAGCCCTGCAAATACTGCTAGTCAAAGATTTGGGCTATTATGATTCCCAGATGATTTTATAGAGCTTTTTCCCCCCGCCCTTAAATCTAGGCAGCAGAACAGCAATTTTTTCAGCAGAGATTGCTCTGATTTTGGTGTTTGGGCCATAAAATGCACTGTATTTATGGCCAATGCCTGGTAACATTAATGCAGTAAGAGACAAAGGGAAAAAAAAAGAAACCCTGGTATTTCACCCATGCCATACTGGCAACATCTCCTTTAAGATCCAAGTGGCTTAACAATTGCTGTTAAGCTGGGTCACTATTGCCAGTTCTTTCCCATCAAAAATAAATCTGTTATGAACAGGCACTTCCACTACACTGTCCTGGAAGGGATTAGTCAGCCCACAGCAAAACACTGCTAAGCTGGAAGCCTTCTGAATCTGCTGCTGCACAAACAAGCCAGACAACTTCAGGGACTTATCCTGAGAGACCCTGCTGCTTCTAAGTTCAAATCCAGTCTGGCTTTGCAGTGCCTCAAAGCCTGTGGATCATCATTAGGGCTACTGGTTTTCCGCAGTTCAAAACCTTGCCAGGCCCTTTTAAGAAGCATCCACCAGTGCACCTTCAGCAAACTGTTCAGCTCAAACCATAGCGGAAGATTAATTTCTTGCTCAGATGAAGTAGATGCACTCTATGAGGGAGATACACAATATAGTTTCTCTTTGACCAATAGATGAATAAAACCACTTTTTACCAGCTACTTTTACTGGTCAGCACTGCAAGAGGCTATCAAGGAATAGACTTGTGTCCAAACAGCTCAAAACATTCAATAGGATTTACACTGCACATATTACAAAAAGAAGAAACAACTTAGCTTGCAAATAATCAATTAGATGATGATCTTCTCCTATCTGGGATGTACAAATCGCCATCAGGTACTTTTGTGCTTAAGAAGCTATGCACAGATCACAGGCAGCACACATCGGGGTGTATATAGCAAAGCATATACGGCTCAGGAATAACTCATCTAAAAATCACAGCTGATCATGTTGCATAAAACAGTTTGGAAAAATGAGACTTCCCAAAGGACAAAGACAAAAAGCCTAGAAAACATACCTACAATAAAAGGAAAGACTGAAGGAATTGGAGTGGTTTGCAGCAGGGAAGACTCGTGGGAGACAAGTCCTGAAATACTGGAAAACTTGTTACACAGGAAGATGGTAGGAAAAATGCTCCATACATGCTAAAGACAAAAGTATGAAGAAATGGTCTTAGCAAGACAGGTTTTGATTGAGAGCAAGTTTCAAATTGTAAAGGTAAGTTATGAATTAGAAGATACTGCAAAGGGCAGCTGTGGAAATCTCTTACCTGAGGTTCTTTAGGGCTGTCAAAGAAGAGCTTAGAGCTGTTAGGGACAGCTTGGGCAGAGGTTGTGCTGTCCTGGAAAGGGGTGGCAGGAGAAGCTTTCCTGAGAGCTCCTGAGCACTCTTCTAGCTTTAACTTTTGTCTCATTTTGCAAGCAACGGTGACACTAAGGTCTCCCAGAGCAAAACACGGCGTGTGAACTCTTAACACTGACCTTCACTCCATTCAATACTTAAAGCCAGGTCTTTAAACTAATATTTGCACAGGTAATACTTGATTTTCAGGAAGGTTCTATCTGCAAACACGATTGACTTAAATATTTAGATGTTTATTCCCCAGAGGTGGAGAAAAGCTAGACAAGATGCATGGTTATCCCACTTCTGTTAGCTGATGAGTAAAGACATTCACCTACATACACATACGTGTCATACATGTCCTGAGATGACAACTGATCACTCATGAATTAGATGAAACAGACTTCTCAGCCATTCCAAAGACTGTACAGAAAATTATTTATTAAGCTTTAGAAGTTAGTTTATAATTAGAATAGTTGGGAAATGGAGCTCAAACACACCTAGAAGACTTATTTCAGGAAATCCTTGTGGTTCACACTGTTCCTGTTAAACAGGAGAAAGAGCTTGTAAATCTATCCAGGCAACAAAAGTTTATACATAAAAAAGGCTATGCTGGAACAAAATGGTGGCAAAGCAACAGCCAGGGACTGCAAGCAGAACTCTTGCAGCACTGGAAGAAAATCCCACGGAAGAGCTGAATTCAGGCCACAGATCCAAAACCTCCTAATAAAGGCAGTTTAGGGAGTCCTGGAAAAGAAAGAGCTCATGCTGCCAGGGACAGAGAAACATTAGACATAGCCCATTAAAATGTACTACACTAATGGTCTAAAATACTACAGCACAACAGAATATGCTTTGGATTACAGTAATGCAGCATATAACTTCACAGGTGCCAACTCCACACTGGCTGGCTCAGAGCCTTCAGGTCTCGCAGTGCTAGCTCTCTAGTCACTACAGAGGGATTTCTACATCTGTGCTCCAGAAAGCAAGACAAGTTTCAGGCCAAGAGCTATTCAAGTATTTCTCTCTGACAGAAGAGGAAGGCCCAGCCAAAATCTATCAGACTAAGTGGCTGAAATATCTGAATACAAGCTGATCTCTTTGGTGTCTTGATAGCAGCCTCATCTGAACCAGCTATCACACACTGAGCAACTAGTCAGACTCCCTTCATCACAGCCTGTGCTTCAAAGAACAAAGACTCTTCGCTGCTAATAAATTTTTTTTTTTTTGTTAAGGCAGATTAGTAGTTTATTTTGCAGCACTGGAGAATAAGCATTGCTGTCTGTGTAAAGAGAGCCTGGCTCAACAGACTGACACAAGGAGCTAGCCACTTCTGCTGGTCTATGCTACGCTAATCCATTTGCTTCTGTTTATCCTTCACAACCAAGGGGATGCTTTGCCATTCAGAAGATGGAGGCTGAATACACATAGAAAGCATCAAGGGAAAAAAAACCTGCAGTAGCTGCAGCACATCCTCAGGGCACAGGGGAGGGTTAGCAGCACAAGCCAGAAAGCTCCACTCCACGTATCCCACAATAACCTTCTGACAAAGCAAGGAGACAGTGGGGTTTTGCCTCTCTTCCTACAGCCAGGATCCTATTCTGAGTGACATTACTACAAGCCTCAGCCTTCAAACCAGATGTCCTAGCAGGCCCAGCTAGTTTTGCTCATGAAGTGTCTACTGCCACTGTGCCCAGGGAATGTCTCACACTTCCTTCCCTCCAGGCTCCGCATTCCCCAAGGTCAATTTTCCATAGGTTAAAGGGAAGACTTTTTCTTTGAACTCCAATGCTACTTCCTGCTACTTGAGCAGTACCAGCCAAGTCAGTAATACGCATCTTCTTTCCCCATCAGGAACAGCCAACAAGTACTTCCACACAGGCTTCTGCCCTTACCCTGGAGGGAAATCTGCCTCCCCTTACCAGTAAGGGCATGCACAAAGGCTCGTGCCCGTGACTGACTCAGTTCCTACGCTCATGAGCTCTACAACAGATCCTTCCTGTGTCCACACCCTGGGGAAGGGAGTACCAGTCTGCACTTTAGAGTATAAGGACCATGAAGAGAAGGTATTTGCATCAAGGCTGGTGATACTGCTCAGACCAACTCTCTCAGCTTACAAAGCAACCCCGTCTCCGCTATCACTGACTGCTCTTTGGCCTCCAACCCTCATCTCCTCTCAATCTGGGAAGACTCCATCCTACTGTTTTTACCCCCATACCACTGTCACACACCAGACTGCCACTGGATATGTCATACACACAGATCTAGACAGCCCAAGCTCCTGTGTTGTGCTACATCACTACAAGACTCAATTACAGCTGTGAAGTCTCCCCGGTACTTTCATTGCAATACTTAGCAAATCCTTTTTCACATTTTATGGAAGTGAGATAACCAAAGACGCAAGCCAATTAAAGTTATGTAGCTCAGCATCAGTAGCCTTCAGCAGCAGCTCTGTATCGAGCTGCACAGGCTCACAAAGTCTCAAGCCTTGACAGATTTGAGCAAAAAAAGGAAAAGGAAAAGCAAAGGCTAGAGTGACAAAA